CCGGCCACGCGCCGCCTGCCCGGGACGCCTGTCCGGAGCTTCCCCCAGTTCTAAAACGGAGTTGTCGTGTGTCGCCAGCTGAGGGGCGCCCTGGCAGGCGTGAGCCTCGCGGATGGCGCCCCCAGTCCGCAGCGGCCCGTGCATCTTCCTCACCGAGTCACGGGGCGCAGTTCCGGAGCGGATGACGTCCGCTCGCTGGCTTTGCTTTGCGACGTGTGCCTCTGTGTCTTTCCCGAGAATTCCTTTCTGCGCTCAAGGTCACGGGGATTTCTTTGCTGTGTGCTTTTAGGTGTTTTGCAGTTTTAGGTTCGCAGTTAGGCGACTGCAAGTTAGTTTTTCATGCGGCGCGGCCGGCTGGGGACCCCCCACGGCGTCCCGCCCTGCTGCCACGCTCCCCGCGGCCGTGGACGCGCCGGCCTCCAGCCTCGCCCTGCCACGCCTGCTGTGGGGCAGCGCTGCGACCCTGCTGCCCACCGCCCGGAGCTGGCCTGGGGCGCGGCCGCCCTCCCACCTCCAGTGTCTGCGAAGTTGCTGGCGTCAGCTCCTCGGCACGTCCGTGGCGTTTCAGACGCTGCTCGCTGATGGCTCTGCGGTGGCACCCACCCGGGGTCCGGCGGGAGCGCGGCCATCTCGGGGACTGGGCTTGCCAGTCGGCAGCGTGGCAGGGCAGCCAGGCTCTGATTCAAGCTCTGTTGCCAGCAACAGTTTAAACACAGCTTTGGGATTCACAGAATATTTTCGAGTGTTGTTTTGTTTGAACTTAGCTACAACTTTATTTGGTAAGCTGCTACCGTTTTCTTTTTTTTTTAAGATTTGTTTGTTTCTGCACACAGAGCTGGGGTGCAGGCCACAGGGGCAGGGGCGGCGAGAGGATGCACCAGAGGAAGAGTGGGGCGCAGAGCAGGCAGACGGACGGAGGACACCGCTGAGGGCCGGGGGGCAGGAGGTCTGTGTGCCCTGGGGTCCCTCCAGGCGGGGCTCGAGCTGGCACCGAGGTGGCCCGGCTTGGCTTAGCTTCTTGGCGTGGCGCTCCAGCCCGCCGGCCACCGGGAGGCCGCTACAGTTCCCCGACCTCCCGGGGGATCTAAAAACACGTCCCTGCCCTCTGGCCCACCGGCCCCGGGAGCAGAGAACGCAGGCCTGGCCCTGAGCCGGCCCGTGCCAGCCTGGCGGCCGCTGCCTCACACCCCTGAGTCTGGCGCCGCCGGCCAGCCATGCCACAGACCCCTGGGCCGGGCAGCTCTGAGCGCGGCGGGTGGTGAGGAGGAGACGGCCGTCTCTGCTGCTCCGAGGGCCCCACAGCCCCTGGGCCCGCGTGGCGCCGTGTGGGCGGCTGCAGAGAGCGGGACAGAGGCGGCGCTGTGCGGGGCCGGCCTCGCCGTGGCCATCGGGGCCACCCGGTTCCTTTCAGGGGAAAACGGATGGTGCCTCTGATGTTCCTCACTGCCCCATTTTAACAAAGTCGTGTCGTCTTCTTCCTAGAGGACGGTTTTCAAGTCCTGGCTTATGATCAGGACACAGCGTGGCAGCCAGGGGGCGAGGAACCGGCCCGGCCTTCGGGGGCTGCCAGCCGGGTGGGAGGCCCAGGCCGGCCGAGACGCGCCGCCATGGCCCAGGCCGCGCTTGGCTCAGCTTCCCTCACCCTCTTTGCCGCGTTTCCTTGCAGGTAGATACTGACCGCATTCTGTGGTGTGGCTGGCAAAGGAGGAATCCGTTCAGTTCAAACAGTGGCGAGGGTGGCAGTGCTTTCTCGCCGGCCCTGCCCGACAGCGCCCCCAGCACCAGGCACCCCGGCCCCGCCGGGCCATCTCCCCGCCCGCGGCTGGCGTGTGTCCCAGGTCGCCACAGCTGCAGAGGCGGACTGTGCGCAGTGACCAGGGCTGCTGCGCAGTGAGGAGGCGCGCGGCGGCTGCGGGGCCTGGCTCGCTGCCCACTGCCCTCCAGGCGGGGCGCGAGC